ATCAATATTAAATATATTAGTTGAAAAATCAAAAATAAATAATTATATATATATATATTCATATAAATATATATCTATATTTATATATATATATATAAATAGATCTATATGCATAGAAAAGATATATTTATATTTATTTATATGAATATATTAAGGGGCTTCAGGGCCGAAGTACAGTGCAGCATCTCTCAAGATTGCCTGCCTATAGCTACTGACAGCTATTGTCGAGCTATGCGAGCTCGTTGGAGAGTATCGGGCGGGGGATCGGCAATCGGCCAGGTCCGCACAAAAGCTTCCTTTGATTTCATTCAATCCTATATTAAGTGCGCCCGCCCTCATGAAAACCCTGGATCATTCCAACATCTCGCCTGAATTCATGGGATTCTGACCGTGACTCAAAATAAAATTTTCACAGAGCAGACAGTAAAGCGAACCCTCTGGATTTTTCTTTGACGAATCGCCGTTCATCTGTACAACAGGCCTCACTGGCCGGGTCCGAGAAATGGTGCGGTCTAAGACGGTCGCGCGTGATCTCTTAAAGAACCCCGACACCTCAGAGCAACCCTAAAGGGCAAACCATGAGGTACTATAATATACCATAATATACAATAATATACCATAATCTACTATAGCAAAGTGTAGTAATAAGACATACCATGATCTGCTATGATCTACTACAAGATACTGTAGTAGTAGTTGTAATAATAATAATAATAGTAGTAGTAGTAGTCGTCGTATCATATACCATACCATAATCTACTATGATCTACTCTAACATACTATATTATGCTATACTGTGACATACAAACGGTCTTGCGAAGCTTTGAATGCGTGTTAAACCTTGGTGCTCATGCACTCGGGAGCCACATCGCAGGGCCAGTTGATCCCACCTCAGAAGCCAAGGCGCCAGGGTGACATCCAGGAAACGGGTTGAAGTTCCCTAAACCCTAAACCCTAAACCCCCTAAACCCTAAACGCTAAACCCCCTAAACTCTAAACCCTAAACCCTAAGTTCAGGGGCTTCATTCCGCGTTTTACAGTTTAGGGTTGGGCCATGTTTCTGGGAATTCGACCACGCGGAATCCGAATCCTCCACCTGCTCGGTCCGACGCTTAGGAAGCAAACATGAGTAGTCCGAGGCAAAGTAAATCTTGGGTTTAGGGTTTAGGGGTTATTCATTGAACTCCAAAGCCTCCAAAGTGCTGGTTTTGGGTTTGGGGTTCCGGGTTATACTCACTGAAATCCGGGGCAGTGTGTAAATCTTTGTCTGGGAGCGAAACGCGATATTCAGGCTCAGCGGCGGTGCCGTTCTGGAAAAGCATGGCCATCAACGCGACCATAGCAAGTCGTCCGTTGGCCAGCCTACTCAACTCACCCTCCATAACTTGGCAACCCCAAAAACACCGACCACATGCGCAGTATCAGTTTATACACACACGTTTATACATACGCAAATATATATATATATATATATATATACTTGTATATACTACCACATCTTACCTAGTATATACTAAACACTAATAGGACTCTTGTGGAATTTCTGCTATCCAGGGGGAGATCCCAGGCTGGACTTGTTTCGGTCTCCGGCCATGTGAGTTGGGCTGGGCGGCGGGTTTAGGGTTTAGGGTTAGTCTAGAGTTTAGGGTTTAGGGTCAGTTTAGGGTTTTGTTCGTGTGGCTTTTGGGCAAGGAGTGCGACAACCTAGACTCGAAACCTTGTGACAAATGATACACCCAAGCCCTCAACCCTAGTTGCATGTTATGTGCCTTCAACGCCCTATGTATACCCACACGCATTGTTGCTTCCTGTATATATACCGTCAAGTGCAAACCATACTTATATCATGTAACGAAAACTGTACATACCAAAAACCGAACATCACGTAGATGTTATCTAGCATCTGTTATGTATTGCTACATGATCGTATGCATGGTGTGACATAGCATATGATGAAATCGCAACGTAATGTGTGTGCCATCATGTAGGATACTGCATATATGGGCTTCGCAATCAGATTTTATGCATTATGTGTTGATTCCACCGTGAAAGATGTAAATCAATGTATAACGTAGGTGGGCCCCTATATTGTATATATATATATACATACATATATATGTATACATACAGTTGTAATCATATTTCATATCCACAAAAAAGAAACCCACAAAACATATTTGCAAATGAAATTGTAGAGCAATGCATAACTTTGAAAACATGATGTTACCTCACACTACAGTATATCACATTACAATACAATAGAGTCTGTCATAATGAACTACATCGCGATGTGCGAATGTGTAATAGTCTATGTGCTTTGTCTAGTATCTCCCTTACACTTGTTTGATTTTCAGATCAGTTCTGGTCTATCCTGTTTCACTTTGTTGTGTGATCTTGTGCTGTGATATACTACATTACAAATACCAGTGTCATTAACACGATTAAGTACTACTGGTCTGCTGTAGTATCCTCACAATGCCTGTTGTAGTTTCTATACTTGTGATCATACTAGCTACTATGACTGTTCTCATCATGACTACATTACCCCCTAAACCCTCAACCCTGAACGCTAAACCCCAAAAGCCTATACCTTAAACCTCAACCCTTAAACTCTAAACCCTTCTACCCTTGCCGAGGCACTCCGCAGCCAGCTTGGTCTTCTTAACGTCGGCATCCTGGAACTCGATAGGATCAACGTTGATGATGAAGTTCTTGCCTTGGCTCTGTACGGGCCTGGAGTAATTCAATAGGGTTTGAGCGCCAATATAGAATCAAATATAATCATACAATACCATATAATATGATCTGATGTATATGTATATACAATAGTATATATATATATACACATGTATAGAAATAGATAGTTTTAAGGTTTAGGGGCCTTAATCATTGGAGTAGGACTCCTTGTAAGGGATGCAATAAGAGGTTCTGCAAGGATTCGAAACTAATTATAGGGGGGCTTAATCCTTAGAATAAGGTTTAGACTCCATGAAAACTATGGTAGCGATATAACCGAGGGCTTAGGGTTGAGGGGTCTCAGGAATTGCAATCCTGTTCGTTAAAACGGTCCCTTTACGGGGTACGGTAAGGGTTACCATAAGGCTTCCAATGTGGGGGCCTCAATCACTTAGAATAGGGCCCAGGGTCTCTTATGGTCGGTTTGGTTTATAATCAAACCCCGACGGACTAATTTAAGGTTTAGGGTTTAGGGCTTTCTTTGGGGCTTTCTAGGGGTTCCATCAAGTTGCATAGCTGCAGGGGTTGTGTACGGGGCATCGCAAGGGTTTGGGATCCCAGGCACGCAGCGCACTGAAGCCTCACATCCCGACTTCCTCAACCCGAAGATGCCCCTAAACTCTAAACCCTCAACCGCCTAAAACCCAAAAACCATAAGGTCGTCACCCGAAAGCAACTTGAAACACTGGACCCTCGCACGCAACCTCAAAATCCTGTATGAAAATAGCAAGAATCAACTACCAACAAGCATAATCACCATCATCGGAGTCATAATATTCATAGTAAATGAAGAAACAAAGGTATTAATTGCAATGGCAAGACTAGTACTAGCGATAATAAATACCTATGCAATAATAGTAATGGTAAACATACTACTACACATACCATATCATACATAAGGATAAAATTAGCAACAGTAACAATAGTACCACTAGCAATAAGAGTGATGGCAAATCAAGAACAACTCTATCACCGTATACATATATACATATATACATATATATATATATATATATAAATATATAAACAAATAAATAAATAAAAACCCGTATATACATGCTGCCCAGTCTCCAACGCCAAGGAAGCCGTAGCCTTCGAAGTCGCCGGGAGCGCGCTTGGCATCCTAGAGCTTGTTAGGCTTGCAGGTTTAGGGTTTAGGGTTTAGGGTTTAGGGTTTTGGGGCTTCCCAAGATGTTGGGGTTTGGGGTCTCGGGCTCTCAAAGACTTTTGAGCTTGGGGTTTGGGCGTCTGAGGATGGGCTCTTAAGGATTCCTGGAATGTGAAGGCTTTAGGGCTTGAGGGGTTTAAGGGTTCGGGGAATCAGGCTTTAGGAGTTTAGGGCTTTGGACGCGAAGCTCTTATCTCTGGGGGTCAGGGGCTTTCGGGTGTGGGTTTCAGGCAGTTTGTTCACAAAGTTGGGGGAGTTCGGTCTAGTGGGCTTGGGCTGTTGCGTTCACGGTTGGGGTACGTGACCTCCAAGGCTTGTTCTTTTGAGTTTGGGTGTTACAGCACTTCTTCTTAATAGTTTCTATTTTCTATGGATGCTATAACCATGATTTGGCTGCAGTTTTTGTTTTGTGTCATGCCTTTGTTGGGCGTTGGCTGTGGTTGTGATTGGGGTTGTTGTTGCTGTTAGCGTAGCTTTCTGATGTTAGTGTGGCTATGAGATTGTTGCTGTTGGTGGTGATGCTGCTGCTGCCACAGCTATTGCTACTGCTACTGCGAATTGTATTCCTTCTCCTACTCTTGCTCCACCACCGCCTGCTACTACTGCGACTGCTATTGCTACTGCTACTGCTACTGCTACTGCTACTGCTACTGCTTCTCCTACTACTACTACTACTACTACTACTACTACTGCCACTACTACTGCTACTGCTACTACTACTACTACAACAACAACT